GTTTAAACAAAATATGGTTTTGTAAAGGCCCTTGAAGTCCTTTTGCCCTCCCATCTTACACCCTAAAGCCTGCCCTGGAAGGAATTCCTCTCAATCCCTAGAAGGGGTTCATGTCTGCCATATAGTAGGCACTCAATAAATATTCTCTGAACAGGTAAATAAATGCTCAGACTTCATTTGGCCTCAGACCTCTGGACTCCCCCGTGCCCCACAATTGGCCCCTTTTGCTGGTAGAGAGAAAACTTTTGCCCAGAAGTCAGGGGACACCTACTTTTGGGGACATGGTGCACTCCTGGACTGTGTGGGTTGAAGTACTCCCCCGCAGGAGTGGGTTCCCTTAACCTGGGCTCTGCTCCTTGTTGGCCAACTGAGCACTGTCACTGTTTCCACGACCTGCCCCTCCCTTGCTTTGTTTCAGTTTATAGCTCACTCTGGCTTGAAAACAGTATTGGCTTTTGCTACCATGTTGTACTTCCCTCTTCTCCTTCAGGATTAAGGCACCTGGAGATACTAACCAGAGACAAACCCCAGCAGTAATTTTTCTTTCTTCAAATTGACAGTAGAATCCATAGAATCCCAGGACTCCTAAACCATGTTTAGCTCCAAGAGCAGAGTTGCAAACTCAGGTGCTTAGGGGGCCAAGAAGGGACTGTGGCCACCTGGCCCTGAATGTGGGGAATGTGGGTCCAGCATTACCAAATGTTGTGATTTTTTTTATGTTCTAATTTTTTAAAAAATCAATTTTATGAGAACTCTTCAATTTTTAAATGTTAGAAACTAAGTTTAAAAAAATTAAACCCTTGTAAGCCCTCAGAGCACAGCCATGAGCTGGTACCGGGGCAATTGTGCCTGTCTTACTAGGCGGAGCGGTGCGCGTCAGAGGACTTTGGTGAGCCAGGGCAGTGGCATGGGAGCATTTCCTGCAGGAACTTTCCTGGAATCTGATTCCAGGGTTGAGCCCCTGCCCCCTTCCTGACACCCAGCCCCCATGCCCTGCCCAAGAGAAGTGGTTCCTCACCCCAGAACATAAAGCACAGGCTCTGTCCTCCGCATGCTAGGACTTAGTTCTCCGGGTCTACAGGGAAGTGGAGTCTGAGAGGTGGAATCTGAAGCTGCCGGGGGTGTCTGAGGATCTGGGGCCACATGAGCAGTGGGGTCAGACCTCTCATGCCCTCTGTCCCCGAGCTGGAACGGGTCTGGAAAAATCAGATTTACCCACATCTTTGGGAGGTCAGGGCATCAGGGTGGGGGCGGGGGTTCCCAGCCTCTCTGTTTCTTAAATTCACTCTTAGGGAGAGACAGCTCCTTGCCAGTCTTGGGGGGAACCAGAGGACTCCCTGACCTGGGGAGCCTTAAATGAATCCAGGAGCCCCAGGGACACAACTATTAATATTAATAAGACCTTCAGAAGCCCTGTGTGTTGGAAAGAATGATCCTGCCCCTCCCCCGGCAAAGCAACCTCCTTCCTGTAAGGACAACTGCGATGCTGTCTTTGAACCGTCAAATATCAAAATCTTCCCACAAAATGCATCTTCCCATTTTTCTGTTTTGGGGTGCCTGCTTTGCTGGTATCACGAATCCGTGCTGGGTAAGGCAATCAACAGTAGCTGGCATTGCAGATCTGGGAGTCACCTCCTGGCCAGGAGCAGGTGCAGCCCAGGCTTGGGACCCCAGACCCGGAACCCTCGAAGCCAGGAACCCTGTAGGGCTACAGCTACACGGGGAACGGGATCTGGGAGGGACTTCCTGTTGTCCCTAATCCCAGTCTCCACTTGGCTCCCCCGCCCGCCCGGTGCAGGCTGCGGAGACTCCCTTCCCCGAGCAGGGGGCCCTGCTCCCTCCACCCCGGTGAGAAGGGGGTGCTGGGGAGGGCGCCTGGATCCTGAGACCCGCACAGGTGATCAGCTTGCAGGAGAAGACGTGGTCAAAGGTGGAAGGCTTTGGGTTGGCAGGAGAGAAGGGGGCCAGGACCTGGGTGTGGGAAGAATGACATCGTCTGCGGGGACAGTGAGCAGGATGGATGTGGCTGCAGCTGCAGGGGGGGCTCCTGAGAGTGGGCAGGATGATTTCTGAATCTCGGGTGCAGCTGAGTCAGGCGAGGGCACAGAGGGCCTTGGATGCCTCTGGCTTTGACGGGTGGGGCCCCACCAGCACCTGTCTTGTAGGGTCTCTGCAGAACTTTCTGCTCCTGGTGACAGGAAATGCTGATTCTGATTTAGCCCAGCTTTCCCTGAGCCAGCTGCACTGTGATGCAGGCTCCTGCTTCAGCGACTAAGGGGACAATACATTAGCATTCTTGCAAAAGGAGGAACCAAACACATCGTAGAAAGTGAGACCGTTGGATAGGGTCTGGGAGACTTTATTTCTGATTGGGACCAGGGAGCTCTGGTCCTCTTGGGGATTTTCTGGGCACTGTGGAGGTGTCTAGGAAGCACTGGCTGATTCCTTTCTGTTCTTCCAGGCTGCTGGCCAGAAGCTGGAGGGAGAAACAACTCAGCTGTTCTTTCTAGCTCTGAAATAGAAAATGTCTGCAGATGGCGGAGGCATCCGGGCCACCCAGGACAAGGAGCGAGCCCAGGAGGTATGGACAGGCCAGGTGAAGGAGGCCATGGAAGGGCCTGGAATGGGTCTTCAAGGCAGGGGCAGGGCTGGTGGATGGGGGCATTGGGGATGGGGGTTAAAAGAAGGTGGCAAGACAGAAATACCCTCCATCTGGAATTGACAGTGTAACTGTTTTGCTTTGCTTGGGGAATTTTGTAGTCAGTGGCCACATGGGATAGCAGGGGGGCTATGCGGTGAGGGTCTCTCTCTGAACAGTGCTCAAAGCACAGGGAAGCTTTATTCTACTCCCCCACTCCCCTCTACCTGGGACCACATCTCCTCATCTCTCTGGGTCTGAGCTTCCAGTTCTTTCTATGCCTGGTGCCTGTGTGTGTGTGTAATTACCACCTGCAGGGGACCAGGGTCTCCGGGCTTGGAGTCAGAGGAGTATGAGTCAGCTGCAGGCCAGGTGCGTGACCTTGGGCAAGTCCCCTGGCCCATGGGAACCAGGTGTGTCATCTGTAAATGTGGATCATGTGCCTGCTGTTCCCACCTGTCTCGCCAGGTCACTGGAGGCTCGAAGGAGATAATGGGCACGAGTCCTGCGTAGGCAGTTCATCAGCCCGTGACAGGTTGTTATTGCAGCACGTGAAACAAGAACACCCCCGACAACTAGAAGCTACATCAGAGAAACCTGTATCCTCTCAACCAGTACTGCCCATGGTTGTAAACAGAAATGCAAATCAAGTATACGTTCTTGTTTTGATACCATGGAAGTACAAAGAATGGTTACCCCTGCTCAGATTGCCTTCCACAATGACTTCGTATGCCTTGAACATGCCGACACTCTCTGCTGATGTTGGGTTCTGTCAAGTACACACAAGTACAGTGATAATTACCAGTGCTGCTCTGTGTTTATCCAGAACTTTCCTGAGCAGGCAGCTCTTTCTCACTCATTATCTGTGTGTACCTCATTACTGCTCTGGGCAGGTGGCAGAGCAGAGGCGTTCCGGAGGCTGCCCGCCTGGCCAGGGCTGTCACTGCGTCTGGCCCCTGGGCACCCTGACTCCTGGCCTGGTTCTTTCCCTTAAAGACCCGGCAGATGGCGGGTGGAGGAGTAGATTTGAGTCCTGAGCAGAAGGCTGGCCAGGGCCCATGAGGCCTCCCAGTGCAAGGGAAATGACTTTCCCAGAGCTTTTGAGCTACATGATCGAGGGCTGTTGTCTGATTGCTGAGCCTGGCTGCATTAGTGTCCTGTGGCTGTGTCCTGTGGCTGCCGTAAAAAGCTTCACTCACTGGGTGAAAACCAGAATTTACTCACAGTCCTGGAGGCTGAAGTCCACAACCGAGGTGGTGGCAGGGCCACCCTCCCTGCTGAGGCTCTCGGGGAAGACCCTTCCTCGCCTCTTCCAGCTCCTGGGGGCCCCTGGTGTTGCTTGGCCTCCTATCACTCCCCTCTCTGCTTCCTTCTCTGGGTCTCTGTGTCCTCTCCTATTCTTACAAGGACTTAAGTCTAATTCTATTTTGGGCCCACTCTAAATCTGGGATGACTAATTACCTCTGTAGAGACCCTTTTCCCAAATAAGGTCACATTCTGAGGTTCAGAGTGGACATGGATTTTAGGGGACATTCTTCAAGCCACTACACCTGGTTTTCTCCTATACTAAAAACCAGCCGTCCACACTGCCGTGTCCTGGGTAAGGCTTGAGTTGAGAAGAGGTAACTGCCCTTGGGGCACCTTGCCTACCTGCACTGTGGCAGCGGCTGGAGGGGTTTCCCTCCCTTGTCCCCATCCTCGCTGGGCCGAGCAGGAGAGGACAAAGCAAGGCCAGTCCTTCGTGCTGTGCCCTCTATCAGGCTGTCTGTCCTGCTGGGCCCCAGGCACGCAGCTCTGGGTGTGCCTCCCCCTCTCCACCACTCGCTGATGGGGCTGTTGTTTCCAGGTCCCAGGCCATGGGCATCCTTGTCAGGAAATGCTTTCTGGGTCAGAGGAGATGGTGCCTTTGGGAGCCGCTTGGGAGTCACCGCACATTAAGATGGAGCCAGAAGAGCCGCACCCCGAGGGGGTGTCGCAGGAGGACAGGGCTCGAGGCACATGGGGCTGGGCGCCCCTAAGTCATGGATCTAAAGAGAAAGCTCTCTTCTTGCCTGGTGGAGGTAGGAAGGGGCGTGGAGGGTGGAGGTTCAGGTGGGGTTGAGGGGCTCTGCACCTGGAGGGGTTGGGGTTGGCCTCCCAGCCCCTGGCACCTTCACAGTGGTTTGACGCTCTTCTTGGATTGGGTTGGGGGCGGGGTTTGAGGCAGCAGGAGCAGCAGTCCAGAGGGACAAGCTGGTCACCCTGAGAACCCCTCTCCTCTCACAGCCCTCCCGTCCTCCCGGATCCCAGTGCTTTCCCGAGAGGGGAGGACCAGAGACCGGCAGATGGCCGCGGCGCTCCTCACTGCCTGGTCCCAGGTGAGTGGCCTTTCCCCAGCCCTGCATATGGGCTTAGCCCATCCTGCACCTGCGGGCTTGGTGCATGAAGCCCCGACCCCGCTGACCTTCCCACGTGGAGCCGAGCCCATGGCTCGGGGCTCTTACTGTAGGGCCGCTTGAGTGGCCGCCTGAGTGTTCTCTCCAGGCTCGGGGCCCACGCTCAGGCCCGGCCACGCTGGAGGAAGAGCAGGAGGAGGTAGAGACACGGGCTTCCTGCCTGGGAACTGTCCCCTGCATCTGAGCTGGGGTGGGGCTGTGTGCACATCCTGCGTGTTAGCTGTGGTCCCTGAAAATACTGCTTGGCTCTCACCCCCCGCCTGCCTCAAGAAAAGCCATCCTTGAGTGGCTTTCCTGTGTCACCATCAGATGCGAGTGGCAGCCTCACTTGAGACAGCAGGTTGGGAGTCTGGGTCTCGAAACACGTGTTGGTGTCCTTATGTCCCTCCACTGTGTCCATGGCACATCCTGCAGAGTGGACATTTTGCATTGTTCAGATGCCAGTGACCTTTGAGGACGTGGCTCTGTACCTCTCCCGAGAGGAGTGGGGACGGCTGGACCACGCGCAGCAGAACTTCTACAGGGACGTCCTGCAGAAGAGAAACGGGCTGTCCTTGGGTAAGAGCTCGCCTGGTGGGGGCCTGGGGGTCAGAGAAGGGGGGCCTGCCCTGCCATCCCCTCCCTCCCATCCTCACCCTGGTCCCGCTCATCGTCCACTAGACAGCACTGTTCTAAGGAACCTTCCTCGGTGATGGAATGTTCTGCATCTTGCTAGTACAGTAGCCACGAGCCAAATTGGCTGTTGCACACTTGAAACGTGGGTAGAGCAATTGAGTTTTTAAATTTTCCTTAATTTTAGTCAGCTCCAATTAGAGTTTAAATAGCCACACGTGGCTCGCGGCTACCGTATTGGACAGCGCTGGTCCAGAGACGCTGCTTTTCTTTGGTTCTGGGAGAGTGCTCACTTATTCCCGTAGTTTTACCTTCCGTCTCCAAGCCCCAACTCCAGAGATGTCTGAGCAGAAAGCTCAGCTCTGGGGCCTGGGGCTGCTTGCCCCGGAGGGAAATGGCGTCGGCCAGATCCCCAGGCCCTGCAGACTCTGCTGTGGCCATCTGCTCTGAGGAGCGTGTGCTCTTCTCAGACGGGCCTCAGTCCCCTCGGTTTCTGCATGGTAAGTATTTAAGTCCCAGAGCTTTTGACTCCTCAGTTTCGGACTCAGTAGTTTTCTTGACAGAATTTTGTGACGTCTTATGGAAAAATCAGAGTGTTCACTCATTCGCTGTCATTCACTCAGTCGACACACAGCTATCGCATACCTGCTAGTGCCGGCAGAATCCTGGGGGCTTGGCAGTTCCACCCCGTGGCTTCACTGGTGGTCCCGAGACCCTCACTGGCCCACACCAGCCGCCCGCTCACTCCTTTAATTAGTTCAGGTTTGCTCACCGCCCGTTGTTAACATTCCCCAGGGCCCAGACCAACAAGTCCAGGCAAGTCCTGGGAGATCAGAGGGAACTTAGCATCCATTTGCAGCCCCACTGCAGGCCTCACGGACACCCCAAACCACCCGGTTGGTCTGGTGCGTTTCTTTCCTCCCTCGGGTGCTGGACGCCAGGGCCCCTCTGCCCTCTTCCCGACTCTACCAAAATTCCCAGGGCCCGTCAGCCCAGGACTTGGCAAATGGGGAGACTTCTTGGTCACCAGCGGCCCTGGCCCTCTTACCCCAGCCCCTCCCACTTGGCTTCTATGCCCCCTTCCCCGAGTACTCCTCAGGTGCGTGTGCAGGATCGAGACCTTTGTCCTGTTTCTGACAGTGCTGGCCCCACCACTTGGGGGCTGTGGTGACATAAAGACGTTGCCGGCCTGACCTGGCCCAGCTCCTCCCCCTTGAATTCGGCTGCTGTTCAGAGAACCGGGAGACAGGCCCAGCTCAGCCCTGGGAAGAGATGCTCTGGTGTCCCCTCCCTGACGCGGGGACAGACCTTCTTGCCCACAGGGATTTCTTGAGTCCTGCTTTACTTCACCCCACGTTTCCACAGCCTCACCCCTGTCTTGCCCCATCCCTTTTTGGGGGGATGATATCTACGGCGGGGCAGCCCGGAAGGTCCGTGATGAGCACAGTGTGTCTTTCCGGGCAGGGTTCCCCTTCAGCAGGCCTTGCTGGGTCCCCCAAGTCCAGGGCAAGGGCGAGGCCTCGAGCTCAAGCCAGCAGAGAGATGAGCCGGAGGAGAGAGGCGTGAGCACAGGTGAGGGATGCATGGGCACCTTGTTCTGGGGAAGTGAGGGGTGGGCAGTGTCATTCCCAGGTGCCCCTTGTCGACATGGCCTTCTGTGTGCTTTCTGTGGGTGTGACACTGACCCTTCCTGGGGCAGGGCTGCCGGACCCCTCCTCTGTAGAGGGTGGCTCTTGCTTCCAGGCTTCTCCTTGGGCCTGTGTCCTTTTTAGTCTCCCAGACTCCTGCGCCCACCTTGAGCTGGACCTTCCCCACCCTACCGCCATGTCCCTTAGGAAAGCTGCTCTCCACTGGAAACCCTCTTTCTCTCTCCAGGAGCCCTCGAGGTGGGACAGGAGGAGCTGACCCTGTCTGTGGCAGCCCCTGGGGATGTGAAGCCCTTCAGAACCAGGGCAGGCCGGGCCCAGGGTGTCCTGCTGTGCCGGCAGCAAGCAGCCAGCGGCCAGAGCTCAGGGCCGGATGGAGACGCTGGGCAGCCGGGTGCCCCAGAAGACGGGCAGCCAAATCCAGCCCTGCCGGACACCAGTGCCCTGAAGCCGCGGGAGGGCCACGTCCCAGAGAAACGCAGCGAAGAGGAGAAGGGTACCCTAGAGAGTGGCGAGGAGGGCCTTGCCCCCCACGGCGACGCGGGCAAGAAGACATACAAGTGCGAGCAGTGCGGCAAGGGCTTCAGCTGGCACTCGCACCTGGTCACGCACCGGCGCACGCACACGGGCGAGAAGCCCTACGCCTGCACGGACTGCGGCAAGCGCTTCGGCCGCAGCTCGCACCTCATCCAGCACCAGATCATCCACACGGGCGAGAAGCCCTACACCTGCCCCGCCTGCCGAAAGAGCTTCAGCCACCACTCGACGCTGATCCAGCACCAGCGCATCCACACCGGCGAGAAGCCCTACGTGTGCGACCGCTGCGCCAAGCGCTTCACTCGCCGCTCGGACCTGGTCACCCACCAGGGCACCCACACGGGTGCCAAGCCGCACAAGTGCCCCATCTGCGGCAAGTGCTTCACGCAGAGCTCGGCGCTGGTCACCCACCAGCGCACCCACACGGGGGTCAAGCCCTACCCGTGCCCCGAGTGCGGCAAGTGCTTCAGCCAGCGCTCCAACCTCATTGCGCACAACCGCACGCACACGGGCGAGAAGCCCTACCACTGCCTCGACTGCGGCAAGAGCTTCAGCCACAGCTCGCACCTCACCGCCCACCAGCGCACCCACCGCGGCGTCCGGCCCTACGCCTGCCCGCTCTGCGGCAAGAGCTTCAGCCGGCGCTCCAACCTTCACCGGCACGAGAAGATCCACACCTCGGGGCCCAAGGCCCTGGCCATGCTGATGCTGGGGGCGGCAGCGGGGGCTCTGGCTGCACCCCCACCTGCTCCCACCTAGGAGGCCAGGAGGGAGGGGCCGGGGCACCCAGGAACGCTGGGACCCCCGCAGGAGTGGAGGCCCCCGGGAGGAGTGAGAGGGTGTGGGAAGGCAGCTGGGAGGATCAGGCATGGGGTGGGGCAAGGCGATATGGGAGGGGTGAGGGTGAGGAGGGGCAGACTCTCTAGGTGCACATTAAAGGCCTTGGACTTCAAGCGCTGGCCTACAGCTCTGTCTTATGGGGCATGGCACTCGACCCCCTCCTCTAAGCATGGTGGGGGTTCCGGGCCAACCTTGTGCCCTCATTCAGGCATCCTTGAGTTACTGCTTTTGGCTTGGACACCCCCAGCCGTGACCAAAGGGATTGGGGTCCCTTTTGCCTAAGGCCCATTCCAGAGTGTTGGGGAAATAAATCGACAAGCAGGCTGGGTGCCTTGGCTCACGCCTGTAATCCTAGCACTTCGGGAGGCCGAGGCAGGAGGATCACTTGAGCTCAGGAGTCCAAGACCAGCCTGATCAAGAGTGAGACCCCAACTCTCCTAAAAATAGAAAAATTAGCCGGGCCTCAGGGAGTGCACCTGTAGTCCCAGCTACTCTGGAGGCTGAGGCAGGATTGTTTGAGCCCAGGAGTTTGAGGCTGCAGTGAGCTATAATGATGCCACAGCATTCTACCTGGGGTGACCAAGTAAGACTGTCCCCAGATAAATACATACAAACATACATACATACATGCAAAGGCTTCTAAGTACAGAGGTTTCCAAGCCTGAAGCCAGCCAGCCACTTCTGAAATTGTGGACCCGTAGACAGGCTGTCTGCTGCTGCTGTCACTGTCCCAAAGGCATTGCCCACTGAGCTCTTCCCTTCAGGAGCCCAGAGCCAGGCAGAACCCACTTGGGAACGCATACTCAGTGCTTCCTGCCCGACCCCCATCTCCTTCTTCAGGTGCTGGGGGCTGAGTTTTGTGATTGGCCTTTTTCCACTTGCTTCCACTGGGGCCTCCCTCTGATCCATCAAGGATTCCTTGATTACCAGGGACGACTTTCCCTCTTGGTCCATTGTGCAGCTGCTGCCACCTGTCTCTGCTACTTCTCACCTCCTTGACCTCTTGATCTATGTCCTTTATAATTTGCCTGGCTCTGTTTGACTCCTGGTCTTCCCCTGGCTTTTAACCTCTGTAGCTTCCATGTCTCCCTCTCTACTTTTCCCCCTGGTGGGGGGTGATGGGCTGAGCCTGCCTATTATTCTGTATTTGTGGCTTAGCTCCCAAGAGAACTTTCAGCTTTGACACCAACTGACCATGAGCCGGTCTGTATCAGACAGGCCACAGAGACCCCCATCTGTCTCCATGGTTATGGGGCCACCAGGGTGGCTGCAGCTCTCCTTGGCTTCCAGTTCCTAAGGGATGCAGTGGCTTGAACAAGCCAGTGGACCAAGAAGAGTAATGTTAGCTGCCAGTTGTTGAGCAGCTGCTATGCCAGGCCTGGGGCCAAGCACTGCCTCTACTCTGCACAACTCCGAATGGATGGTATTATCCCAGTTTTATAGAAGAGGAAACCATGGCTGAGAGAGAAGCCCAATAACTTGCCGAAAGTCATACAACTAGACAGCTGGAAGCTGGGGTTCAGATACAGGTCTGGGTTTTTTTTTGTGGGGTCTCACTATGTCTCCCAGGCTGGAGTGTAGTAGCTATTCACAGGTGCAATCTTGGGGCACTGCAGCCTCGAATTCCTGGGCTCAAGTGATCCTCCTGGCTTGGCTTCCCAAATAGCTGGGACTATAGGTTTGTTCCATGGTGCCTGACTAGGTCTGGTATTTTATCCTGTAAGGAAGACCCCTATTTCCATGCACCCCAACAGCTATTTACTGTCTAACAAATACATGATATTATGAGGCAGGGCTGTCTAAAAAGAGTGGAACAGCCCATAGTCTTGACCTTCAGGGACATTGGGCTCAGCTGGAGTTGGGAGTGTGGTGGGGCATGTAATCAGTTGGACACCCGGGAGCTGCTGACTGGTGCAAGTCCAGGCGGGGCTTGGCGGTGTCTGACAGGTCTCAGTGGGATCTAGGCTCGGGTCGCTGGCAGGGCTGGTTGAATTACATGGTTATTTCTCAAAGGCCAGAAAAAAAGCAGTTCCCCTCCTTCAGCTTGTCTTCATGGCTCCAATCACTCAGCCAGAAATGGGATTTCCCTGCTTGGCTCAGTGTGAGGGGCTGAGGGGGACCCCTCTCACTTGTAAGGCAGGGTTACTCTCAAGGAGACTGTTTTCTCATTAAGGAGCCAGGTGGGAAGGAGACTTGTTAAAATGATACTGGAAGCTGCCATCACCTGGCAAGAGAGCTTAGCATACTCACTTGCACGGTGGATATTGCTTGCTTTGATTTCAGTTCCTTAGGCTGTGTAGCCAGTGCGTCAGGGACCAGGTGTCAGGACTTAAACAATTCGGAGGTCTGTTGAGTGATCCAGGGAGTCATTTAAATACTCTGCTCGTGCCTCCAGGGAGCTCAGAGATCACAGTATCCAGGACAAATGTTCCCCTTTCATGGCAGAGGGGGACGTAGTACCAAGGCCCCTGGGATGGTGCCTGCAGAGCGCCCCACTCCGGAGACACTCCCTGGGGCTCTGTCCGCTTCTCCCTCTAGCGATCCATTGAGAGGCCACCATTCCTGGACAGATCTGGCAAGAATATTTTAAGAGTGGAATTTAGCAGTTTGACAAGAGCAAATGAGAGTGAGGGGTTGGGACTGTCATGGAAGAGCCTTGAATGTCAGGTCGAAGGTGCTCACTGAGAGGTGGGAGGCTGGAGGGGAGGAAGCCCGAGAAGGGTCCTGGTGTCTCTCTGGGCAGAGGGTGAGGAGGCTCAGAGGTTTGCCGGGCTTTCTCCTGGCTTCTGCTCACTCTTCCATCCCAGCTCCTCGGCCACTAGAGAACCTGACCTGACTAGTTTATCGCTGACCTGCACTCTCGTTCGGACGGTGAGGGTGAGGGCGGACGCTACAGTATTTCCACCTTGGCCTCCCACCCCCTTCCTTGCGGCCTGCGCGGGGGCCCTGCTGGCTTGGCCCCAGGTCCTTGCTGCAGGCGTTCAGGGCCCAGCTGGCGGGCAGCGAGGCCCGGAGTCCCTGCCGGGGTCTGAGGGCCCCAAGCTCCCCCGGCGCTGCCCTACCACCCGCACAACCGCATCCGGAAGTCCCACCCCCGATGCTCTTAGCCAATCAAGTGTCGGGGTCAGAACAAGGGGCGGTCCAAGAACTGACCAATCACGGCTGACGGTTGTGTGCGGGGCGGTGCTTCCCCTTCACGCCTCAGGCCGCATGGTTGCCCTGGCAACTGTTCCGGGCTCCTGGTTTTGAAACTTTCCGTTTTCCCCTTCGCCGGGTGTTCTTTGCCGAAGGAACCAAAAACGAAGAGGCTGGACTCCGAGCTTCGTTGCCGTCCTCCGAGCCCTCACAGGCGGCTCCCCCGCTCCACGGCCTTCCCGGGCCTACCGCCGAAATGCCGAGCCTCCTGCAGTCCTAGAGAGGATGGGATGGGAGAGCCAGGACCACTTCCGGCCTCGCGCGGCTACATCTTGCCCTCGATGCCCGGACTGTCTGTGGCGCCGGGGGAGTCCAGGCCCCTGCTCTAGAGGTCGGCGGGACCCGGGCACCTCCCGCCGGCGCTGTAGCGCTCTCTGAGTTCCGGAGCAGTGGCTGGCGATGCTGCCAGGGGAGAGCCAGAAGTGGGTGCGTCCACAGCCGTCGGAGAGCGGCCAGGAAGGAGACCGAGGTCCTCATCACCGGGAGCGGGGGAAACTGAGGCGGGCCGTGCGAGGAGGGGCGTGGCTCTAGGTGATGCGTGAGGGGCCAGAGGGCCAGGAAACGTTGACAGTAGGGGGTTGGCTGCGTTCACTCGTTCATTTTTAAATTAAGAAACGAATGCCTGCGTTCCAGGTCCTTTGCTAAATATTGAGGAATAAGCGACGAAAATGCCTAACAAGATCCTTGCCCTCACGCACTTCCAGTCTATTGAGGGAGATGAACAAACAGATAAATGACACCTACATTAATTTCAAGTAGTGACAAATGCCAGAAAGAAAGGAACTAGCTGAAGCCGTAGAGGATGGCAGGTACTTCGCTGTCAGGAAAGGCCTGTCCAAGGAGGGGATATTTAAGCTGAGACTGGTATTGAAGCTGAGACTTTAAGCTGAGAAGAAGCCTCCACAAGGATTTACAGGAAGAACTTTTCAAGCAAAGGCAACAGGATGAATAAAGGGCCTGTCATGAGGAGAAGATTGACGGTACAAGAGCTGAAATGACATCCCTGTTTGGGGAAGAAGGGAGAGGAGTCAGGAGATGAGGCTAAAGAGGCGGGACTGTGGGGGCAAGAGTAAGCAGGAGACTTGTTGGGCGCAGTGGCCTGAGGCTTCTCCTTGGTGTCCTGTGAAGGGTGGAGAATGGGGAGGTCATGGAGATAGTCCAACCTTCCTCATACTCATGCTCCTCTGTCAGCTTGTGACCTGTGGCCAGGCAGGCTTTCTGGCAGCACTCAATGGCCCGCACCTCAGTTCCTCCTAGAACACACCAGTTTTTCTGTCCTCAGGTAAGGAAGCTCCAGGCTGGCCATGAAGATGAACACAAACCTCACCAGTAGAGCAACAACAGAGCTTTTCAAGGATTCAGATGATCCTCTCATTAATGCTTTTCTCAAAGACTTAGTGAAGGGACTGTCTTCTGATAAAAGATAGTTGGAGGTGGGGTGGGTATACATCTCACATACGATAAACACCCTCAATATTTCTATCTCCTTAAGTCTGTGGGTTTCTTCTTTCCCATCATGCCAACTGCACCTCTGGCATTTCAACCTCATTAACCGAAGGCCGCCATTGAGTCCAAATTTCTGCAAAGAAATGGACTAAACTGTTAAAGCCACCTACAGCTGTACAAGCTAACATTAGATTTGAAGTTCCTAGTAAGCACCCATTATCAATGAATTTAATCTGATCTTTTTTTTATATTCTGTCCTCTTTGGTATGCTATCCTTGGAATCCACTCGCACACTTGTGCCCCAGGTCTCTGCTAGTATGTATTAGCAGTCTTGGATTCTTTTGGTGCATAAGCTATTTCCTCCTGGATCATAGTACATATCCTTCGCTTTGGAGCATATTGAGATTTGACCCTGGTTACGAGTCTATTGGCAACACAGAGTGGTTAGGGGGGACCTTGAGAATGGGCATCC